CACAATTCCTAACAGCTAACACAAGTGCACCTTATGCTGTTTCTTCCACCATGGCTCCCCAAAAATGCCCGTTGGCTTTGCCTTTTAGCCAAGCTCTACTCCAGATATTAATGTCATAGGCTTTTTTGTGATAATACAGCTCAAATTATTTATAATTGCAAAAAGAAGAGAAAGCAACAACAACAATAGAGTAATATAAGCAGATTTCTGACATTGGAGTAAACAGTGGACAGTGTGTTGTCGAAGGTTTTCATAGCCGGAATCACGGGGATGCTGTGAGTTTTCCAGGCTGTCTAGCCATGTTCCAGAAGCATTCTCTCCTGATATTTCACCCACATCTATGGCAAGCATCCTCAGAGGTTGTGAAGACTGTTGGAAACTAGGCAAGTGGGGTTTATATATCTATGGAATGTCCAGGGTGGGAGAAAGAACTCTTGTCTGCTGGAGGCGAGTGTGAATGTTGCAAATGGCCATCTTGATTAGCATTGAATGGCCTTGTAGCTTCAAAGTCTGGCTGCTTTCTGTCTGGGGGAATCCTTTGTTGGGAGTGCATTTTAATGCCTACAGTTTGGATCTATAGTACCTGAAAACCAACCAAAAAATGAAAGTTGGGCCACAGCAAACTTGGACTTAGAGAAAGGATGCAAAAACCGAGGCCACTCACATTCCAGCAAACACACTACAAGACCACAACAGATCAAAGGTCATTTCATTAAAAACAGAGAAATGCCTGCTTCTTCTCTCCAGCTTTTTTCCCCCTTTCCCCAAATTATTTTTATTGAGAATAAGATTGTCTCCAATAGGCTGGAGCATGAGAGAAGTTTTAAAGAGTTGATAACACAACCTAGAGGAATTTTCTCTCTGGCTTTAAACAGGCAGTGATAACACACCTTTGAGTCACATTGATCTTAATGGAGGCATTAAAGCACACGAGGCGCGTAACATTGCCTAAATTGTGGCATTACAATCCTATCTCAGGGGTTTTATTTGTGCTTAGGGTCCCCCCAAACCCAGCTTCTGGCTGTGTGTTTCTGCTGCCCTCTAGTGCTCCACATGGAAAAGGGTTGTGATTTAACAAAGAAAAAAATGCTATTTACTCAAGAACAACATTAAGAACGACCAGATGTTCTTGTTTGTAGCTCTGACATTAAAGATGTCAATAATACCATTGAGGAGAGGAATTGAGTCACTGCAAAAGAGAATAAGGGAGATTGGGTTCAAAAATCTGGGCCTCACATCCAAGGTTGAGGTGAAAAAATGCTATTTTCTGCAGCAGTTTCAGCCTGAGTGTACTCTTATTCTATTTTCCACCCCAGGCACCAATAGGGATCTGCTAGTGACAGGAAACAGAACTGCTCCCTTCTTCCTGCACCAGAAAACGGACTGTAGAAAGCAAAAACAAAACAGTTGCTATTGGTTTTTACTTCATCGCATTGCAAAGCCATGGATTGGGGTGAGAAGTGTTACAACTAGTAAAGAACGCTAAGAATTATGCTCCTCTTCTACTTTTTTGTGAATATTTAATTCAACCCCTGCCCCATTTCTATCCGCTGAACCTTTCCTGCTCCAGTTGAAAAATCAAGAGTTTTGGGAGGGAAAAGATAGCGTCACGGCTATCCTCTCTGTTTTCCATCTGCCTCCCTCTTCCCTGAATGGAGCTGAGAGGGCATCCCTGTTCTTTCTGATCAGCAACATGTTTGATTCCCTTCCATCCAAATGTGAGGCTGAACTACAATCATAGACTGGATTAGAGCCATGGGTATCTCCTTTGTTCTGCAGTAAAGCCATTAGGCTATTGATATTATAGTACTGTATAGTACTGAAAGTACCAGATGTATATAAGTTTAGAAGCTAAGCAGGCTTAGGCTTGTTTAGTACTTGGATGAGAGACCACCAATGCTCCTAGGTTCTATTTCAGAGCAAACAAATGACAAGCTGGGTTGCTGTGAGTTTTCTGGGCTATATGGCCATGTTCCAGAAGCATTCTCTCCTGATGTTTCACCCACATTTATGGCAAGCATCCTCAGAGGTTGCAAGGGTTGTTGGAAAGTAGGTAAGTGGAGTTTATCTATCTGTCGAAAGTGTCCAGGGTGGGAGAAAGAACTCTTGTCTGCTTGAGGCAAGTGGGAATGTTGCAATTGGCCACCTTGATTCGCACTGAATGGCCTTGTAGCTTCAAAGCCTGGCTGCTCCCTACTTTTGTGGACTATAGCTTCCAAAGCCCTGTAGGCAATATGACTGTTTCATCTATATAAATAAAAATGTACCGTATTTTCCAGTACACAAGACGACTTTCTAAACCAAGAAAATCATCTCAAAAATGGGGGGTGGGTTGTCTTAAACGCGGGGTATAGCAACATAACAGTCTGTCAGATCACCATTCATCACTCTATCAACTGAATCTGTCGACAGTCCCTCCTAATCTTGCATCCAAGGCGGCACCTCACTGTTCTCCAGGATGTTGTAGCCCTCATTATTCCCTCACCTCCCTCACCTCAGCACCCCAAGGAAGGAAGGGAGGAGGGAGGGAGGAGGAGGAGGGCAGAGGGAGGGAGGGGGCAAGGAGGAGAAGCGGCAGGCTGTGCTACCAGGCCGGCTGGGTGTGGTGGCCATTGGGCTGTCCCTGTCGCCGCTGGCCTGGTGCTAGCTCCGCCTCCGCACTCAAACCCGGAGCAGCCACAGCAGGATTCGAAGCCGGAGTGGGGGGGGGGCGGCACCGGGTGTGGCAGGGCCCTCTGCGGGGGGGGGGGGGGGGGGAGCAGCCTGGTGCAACCTCTCCCACCACCCCACTGCCCGCCCCTCCAGCTTTAGCTCCTGCGGTGGCTGCTCCAGGCTTGAGGACAGAGGAGGAGCCAGCACCAGGTCGGCGGCAGCGGGGACAGTCCAGTGGACCACCACCCCGGCCGATCTGGTAATGCGGCCTGCCGCTTCTCCTCCTTGCCCCCTCACTCCCTCTCCCCTCCTCCTCAGGCCACGGCGCTCGGGGATACCAAGGGTGAGGGAGACGAGGGAACAATGAAGGCTACAACATCCTGGAGATGTTGATATAATCCAGAGCTGGGTGGCCACCTGTTGGAGAGCTTTGATAGTGTCTTCCTGCCTGGCAGGAGTGAGAAGGGTTGGACTGGATGGCCACTGGGGTCCCTTCCAATCAAATCAGATATTTTTAAAATTTTTATTTGGTGTGTGTTGGAAGAGGGGTGGTCTAATACGGCAAGTATATCCCAAACTCTGTATTTTAACCATAAAGTGGGGGGGGGGGGTCATCTTATATGTTCAGTCATCTTATACACTGGAAAATACGGTAGTGTTCATTTGTGGGATTAACATAATTCAAAAAACACTGGATGAATTGACACAAAATTTGGACACAATACACCTATCAGGCCAGTAAGTGACCATCACTCATAAAAACACTGAAAGACACAGCAGAAGGGACTTAAAAAGCCAGAAGCAAATAATAATAATAATAATGCTACAGCACATGTGCAAAACGACTCCCCCTGGCAAATAAAACACACAATAGCATATCCATAATTCCTAACAGCCGGTAGGCTGTAGGAATTATGGGAGTTGAAGTCCAAAACCCCTGGAGGGCCCAAGTTTTCTCATGCCTGATCTATTATATTACATCAGTTGTGATGTAGCACCAAAACTCTTTGGCAGAGGCTAAAGTCCTTGCAAAAGTACAACTCCCGTGGCCCCATACCATTGTGCCAGGGCAGATAAAGTGGTGCCAAACTGCATTGATTCTATAGTGCAGAATCAGATCCACCCCTGGAGGGGAAGGATCCGACTAAGGACTGTGCGTTTGAGGAAGTGGGCTGGAATCCATGAACGCCCATGCTGAAGGAAGCCCCGTTTAAGGAGTTCCATTGGCTGCCGTTTATTTTTCGATCCCAATTCAAGGTGCAGGTTCTTACCTACAAAGCCCTGAACGATTTGGGACCCGCCTACCTGCGTGACCGCATTTCTGTCTATGAACCTACACGATCTCTTTGATCTTCTGGAGAGGCCCTTCTCTCACTCCCGCCTTCATCGCAAGTGCAACTTGTGGGGATGAGGGAGAGGGTCTTCTCTGTGGTGGCCCCTTGGCTCTGGAATTCGCTCCCCAGAGATATTAGGCAAGCCCCCACCCTGGAAGTCTTTAGGAGGAGCCTGAAAACTTGGCTGTTCCAGTGTGCCTTCAATGATTGAATGTACAATAATCCCTGACTAAACTCTGCATAAAATGCCCTTAGAAGCACTTTATTTTACCTGTTAGTGCAATTAAATCCCCCGGATCCCCTGTCCCGAGACATTACATTGCCCTCTCACCCAGTGTTTTAAAATTTTAATCTTTGCAATTGGCTCTGCCCACTGTGATTATTTCCCAGTGTTTTAATGTTCTGATTTCATATGGTTGTTCTGTTTATTTATATTGGTGTTTGTATCTTATGATATTTTTATTTTCTTATTTTCTGTTGTGTTCTTGTGTTCTATTGTTTTACTGTATTTCTGGGTTATGGCCTCATGTAAACCACCCCGAGTCCCCTTGGGGAGATGGTGGCGGGGTATAAATAAAATTATTATTATTATCATTATCATTATTATTATTATTATTATTATTATTACTAAAGGTGCCGCTGACCCTATTTGGGCTTTAGCTGGCTTACTATTTTTACTGTTTTATTATTACAGTGTTATTATTCTTATTGTGTTTTGTCAATATGTTTTCCTCCTCCTCCTCCTCCTCCTCACAAGCAAGCAATGGAGCCGGAAAGGAGCGCCAGGAGGCAGCTGCGCCCAAGAGTTGGAGTGACAGCGGCCGGCGCGCGCCTCGGACGCTCTGCTGCGCGCGCGCGCGTCTAGACCCCGCGCGCCCCAGCCAGCCCCTCCCTCGTTTTCATGAATGGAAGCTGAAGCCCTGGCCTCCTCCCTCCTCGGCGCGCACGCGCCTTCCTCCTCGGAGGCAGCCAATGAGAAGCGATGAGCCGAGGCCAGTGTTGTGGTCACGTGGGGCGTGTGTGTGTAGCCGCGGCGCCCGCGGCTCTTCCACTCCGGCGGGCTCTTCACCCGCCCGCTCGCCTCGCGGAGGCACGCTTCCTTCTTTCTTTCCCTCCCTTCCTCCGGATCCCTCGGCCTTGGTGGGGGCCATGCCGTTGGTGCGCTACCGGAAGGTCGTGATCCTGGGATACCGCTCCGTGGGTGAGTGGCCGCCCAGGGTGGGGCCAGGGAGGGAGGGAAGGAGGGCTGGAGGGAGGGTGTCGCCGCCGCCGCCCGAGAGGCACGTGGCGAGGGTTGCCAAGGTGATGCCCGCGAGGGAGGGGGGAGGCGGTGGAGGGGGCTCTGCCAGGGAGGGGCCGCCCCGAGGAGGAAGAGAGGGAGGCTGCGGGGACCCGAAAAGGCGCCGGGCCACGTGCAGAGAGCGCCTGGCAAGCAGCACGAGGAAATACAATGGAGGTTGCATGGGGCCCTTGCTGTCCCCTGGGTCCCAGCGCCCCCAGGGTCTCTGGGTGTTCAAGTCCCGTTATGTACAACATGCAGATTCCCTGGGCATAAAGGCCCACATATATAAATACATACACACACACACACACACACAYAYACACACACATATACATGCATGTRCTGGCCCCTGCCACGCATTGCTGTGGCCGTAGTCTGGTGATCTGGAAAATAAAGTAATGAGAAAGTGTTGGTTTCGAATACATGTCATTTATTTATGCTTGTAGCCCAGATCCATCATTGTTGGAGTCCACAGTGCTCTCTGGATGTAGGTGAACTACAACTCCAAAACTCAAGGTYAATGCCCACCAAACCCTTCTAGTGTTTTCTGATGGTCATGGGAGTCCTGTGTGCCAGGTTTGGCCTAATAAATCCCAGCAACTACAACTCCCAAATGACAAACTCAACTCCTTTGAGTGATGGCCATTCCTTAGGTTAGTAGGTGTCTTGTGGCCAAATTTGGCAGCAATTCGTCCAGCGGATTTTGAGTTATGTTGTCACTCAAAATGAACAGCATTTTTATATATAGAATGATAGATATGAGATACACACATACATGGAGAGAGAGAGAGAGCGCAATTCCTGGAGTAGTATTGAGCAGTACTGGCAGATTGAGCTTGGAGGGACCTCAGGGTGCCTTCTACGCTTCCATATAAAATCTGGATTAACTGCTTTGAACTCGATTATATGGCAGTGCAGACTCTAATAATCCAGTTCAAAAAGATAATGTGGATGATTTGATTTGATAATCTGGATTATATGGCAGCATAGAAGGGATTTAAGAGATCAGCACACAGCAGAGAGTACTTTGCAAACAATAGAAGTAAATAAAATGCCCTTGGTATCTGCTGAGGTTTGGTTCCAGGACCCCCATGGGTGCCAAAATGCATGGATGCTCACCTCCCACTATACATACACACATATACACACACACATATATACAATGACAAAATGTTGTTCCTTATATACAACTGGGAAATCGGACTTTGCTTTTCAAGCCTTGGTTGCTGAGTCCATGGGTCTCAGGTAGTGAGCAGAACTGACGGAGTCAAGGGGACAATAGTGTACCAGCTGCCATCTCGCCTGGGTTGAGCACTTCCAAACCAGACATAACTTTGGCTGAGGTTCACCAGCATGCATGCAAATAGTAATTCTCAAACAATATAAAGAAGAAAAATAGCACAGTGGACTCTTGGTATCCACTGGGGTTTGGTAGCCATGGGTGCCAAAATCCATGGATGCCCAAGTCCTGTTATGTACAATGGCATTGTAAAATATATCCCTGGGATACAATGGCACTTCTGGGTCTTGAGACTCTTTCACTGGAGCTGAATGGTCTACTGGAATGGGAATGACAAAGGCAATCTCAGGCAGTTTGGACAGAGAAGAGAGGCAGAGCACTGGAAGTGTTAGGAGAGCCATTCCTGCAAATCTTTATGCGCTCCTTGACTGAAGCATAAATGTGGAATCAGATCGGTCCTGGCATGTTTAAACCACTCTTCTTCCTCTTGGCCACCTGTTTCTGCCAAACAGCAATGTGGGCGCTCCATGCCCTTCCACCCCAATGGCCTGACCTTTGCAGGGTTCTCCTTGGGGAGCTATTTGCGCAGGCACAATTCTCGGCTCATCAGATCTCCCAGCATCCCACTCCCAGTGCAAATGTGAGAGAGGCCACCTGGGGTCAGGTTTCTATTAATCTATAGGAGGTGGCCATGCCAGGGGTTTTGAGACTGTGCACCGGAGGCTGGGTGGTGAAAGAGTTTGTCTTCTTGGACCACCCTTTCTTTGGAGGGAAGATCTGTGGAGTATCGTCTCTGGATATATCTTGTGTGCAATTGCTTTGTAGGACTGTGGCATTTCTGTCCTCTCTGTCCTCCATGACACTAGGAGTTAATAAATTTCTAGGTTGCCTGGACCTTTCCATGTGTTGGGCTGCAATGCACGCACTTCAGTTGTTGATGCTCCTGGTCCCACCATCTGTGTCTTGTTTGAACAGCTCTGAAAGGGACCTTAGGCCGGGCCAGAGGCTGCTGGAGTGCAGTTGCAAAGCAAGTTGCCCCAGATTTGGACTGAGCAAATAGGAGCCCTCTTGAATGGGTATATATATGTGGTCTTTTTCACTGCTGAGCATTCTGGCCCTTGTGGTTACCAATATACTAACAACACTATGTAATAGAATTTGAAAAAAATTATTTTCCTGGTTTGAAAATGTTACTTCTTGTTTAATTGTGTCATATAATAGAGTCTCACTTATCCAACATAGACGGGCCAGTAAAATGTTGGGTAAGTGAAAATGTTGGGTAATAAGGAGGAATTAAGGAAAAGCCTATTAAATGTCAAATTACATTATTAAGCACCAAAACATAATGTTTTGCAACAAATCGACAGAGAAAGCAGTTCAGTACACAATAACATCATGTAGTATTTATGCATTTAGCACCAAAACATCGCAATGTATTGAAACAGCTGTGGATCCGGGCAGGAGGCAAACTGCGTTGGATAATATAGAACTTTAGATGAGTGAAGGTTGGATAAGCGAGTCTCTACTGTACTTACAGAAACTTTGTTTCTGTGGCTGTCACAAACTATATTGAATTGGTTGAGACTATGAGCTATTCATTGAAAAACTATAGCAAACAGTGCTGCAGGATCTCACAACCTGAGGATGCCTGCCATAGATGCAGGCGAAACGTCAGGAGAGAATGCTTCTGAAACATGTTCATACAGCCCAAAAAACTTACAACAATCCGGTGCTGCAGGATGTCACAGTTTTTGCAGTTTAATAAACTTTTTTCCTGTGTTTTTATGATAGAACCAATTAGGAAATGACATTTATAGCCCAGGAATAAAAACCATGCCACATAGTATAATGGGTGATTTCATAGGCTGTCCAGAGACCCAGTTATGTTATATGGAGGTCTTTCCCTCAGCAAGGAAAGCAGAGCCATTTCTGCATTGTTGAAGGCTTTCATGGCCGGAATCACTGGATTGTTGTAGGTTTTTTCGGGCTATATGGCCATGTTCTAGAGGCATTCTTTCCTGACGTTTTGCCTGCATCTATGGCAAGCATCCTCAGAGGTTGTGAGGTCCTCACAACCTCTGAAGATGCTTGCCATACATGCAGGCAAAGCGTCAGGAGAGAATGCCTCTAGAACATGGCCATATAGCCCGAAAAAACCTTCAACAACCCAGAGCCATTTCTGTTTACTGATTTATTTATTTTTTGGAATGTATTGTGCTCAAGATCAGATGTTTAGTAAAAGAAAAGAATACAGCACTGTTGTTTGCTAAAACATTGTTTAAAAGTGAGTGGAGATGTCAGAAGTATCTATTAAACTGGAGTGGAAGAACCCAGACCCCCCAGTTCTTTAGCATTTCACATGGCAACTGTGAAGTTTAGCAGGCTGCTTTCAGTTTTGACAGTAAGAGGTAGTAGCAACCTGTGGTTCCAGAGCAGGGTGTTGGCCTCATGGACTTTCAGATTCATTTAGCTCTTGCTTCTATCAGCCTTAGCCAGCGTGACTAAATGGTTGAGCATTGTAAGAGTTGTAGTTCAACGCCATCTGGAGAACTGTAGGTTTTTTGGTTTGTGTTCCCCCTTGTTAAGGCTTGGAGGTGCTCACTGGAGGGCATCCCGTTAAGCTGCTTTGCCCCTGAGAGCCCTGACTTAATTTTGTTCTCTAGTGTCTAAATCCCTTCTCTTCTGGTGCAGTTAAGTGGTGCTTTAACATGTAAGAGGCTAGAAACAGGGTAGTTTCAATTCAGTTTTGTACAGCCTAATTATCCTATTGGAAGCTAAGCAGGGCCAGCTTTAGTTTTCCTTTGGATAGGAAACTAACAAATACCAGGTATTGTAGGTTCTGTTTTGAAGGGACAAACTGGCAAAACCATGTCTTGAGTATTGCTGACCAATTAGATTTATGGGACCGCTGTAAGACAACAGGTGATTCAAAGGCACACATACTTCATACAGAGCTTTCTGTGATGGGGAATAAAGATGCATGGAGCAAAAGACTCCCCTTGGCTACTACTGCTATACTTGAGATCTGCTTCTGTTGAGCACAGCAAACTTATTCTGATTTCCCTGTTTTCTGGTGTGCCCTCATGCTCTGCAGGTGTGTGAAATGCTACAAAATTGACCAATGCACTGAATGCTTCAACACCTGAAGGCACTTGATTCTTTGGTTAATCAGAAACAGAGCGAGCAAAGCCAGGGTTAGCTTGTACTTATTTATCTGGAATTTGGGGTTTGTTCATCTCACCCCCACCTCCATATCACTTTCTAGGGAGCTTATGGATCAACTCAAAATAGCATAGCTTACAGTAAAGATTAATTATGGACTAAGCTTTTGTGGACTCAAGGCCTATATATTACAAGCACAAATGTGATCTCAGTTGGACACTATAAAAGTAAATGCTGATACTCGGGAAGTCAAGAAAATATCTTTGGTGGTGGTTTTGTTGTCACTCTATGTTATTTTTATACCTTTTTTCTTTTCTCTTTTTATTTCTATTCTCTTTCTTTTCCCTTTCTCTCTTGTCTTTTGGTTATAGGGACTTTGGTGGTAGCTTTCTAGGCGCTTAGATTTTTTAAAATATTGATTTTATCCATAATTATTTTTAATAAAACTCTCAAAGATTATTCAAAAAATGTAAATGCTGTAAATAAAAATATAAATGCTGTAAATATACATGAATCGGACCTCACTAATACCCTCAAACGCACTAAGGGTGACAAACTGACATTTATTTATTTATTTACTTATTTTGATCCTGGCTTTCTCCCAATATAGGGACTCAAGGTGATTAAATGGCAAACATAATATATTACAGTTAAAACAGAGCAAATGCATTAAAATATTATTTTAATGAAATCTCTTGTGTCATGGAAAAAATATTAAAGTACATTTAAAACTAAAATTAAAAACTACACATTTGATACAAAGATGAAATTATTTCTTCTTGAAGACAAAAAATGTCTTTCAACTTTTCACAGTAAAATGTCAGATCAGCTGCATGCAGTTGTGATACCTGCATTTCAATAATAATATGTAGAAAACTGAAAATCTAGACTGAGTATCCCTCTTCCAGGATTTGAAATCCAAATTACTAAAAAGTCCGAAATTGTCCAAATGGGTGGCTGAGATAGGGACATAATTGCTTTCTGATGGTTCCATGTACATAGACTTTGTTTCATATACAACATTACTTAAAATTACTCCTGGCAATGTGTATAAGATGTATATGAAACATAAATAATTTCGTGGTCCTGTCCCTTAAGATATTTCAGAAATCTTCTGCTACCAAGCATTTCAAATAAGAGACACTCAACCTGTATAGATCTGTCAATGGGATAAAAATGTTAATTTTGTTAAATTTGGAATAATTTTAAGAATCATAGAATCCTAGAGTTGGAAGAGATCTCATGGGCTGTCCAGTCCAGCCCCATTCTGCCAAGAAGCAAGAAAATTGCATTCAAAGCACCCCCGACAGATGGCCATCCAGCCTCTGTTTAAAAGCCTCCAAAGAAGTCTCCATCACACTCCAGAGCAGAGAGTTCCACTGCTGAACAGCTCTCACAGTCAGGAAGTTCTTCCTAATGTTCAGATGGAATCTCCTTTCTTGTAGTTTTAAACCATTGTTCAGCTTCTTGACACTTAAAGTCCCTCTTGACACTCTGGGTTTGTTGACTATTTTGTCCTTTGATTGTCTGATTAGCCCCAGGGACACTGTATAAAAATAAAAAAACTTGTGTCGCTATCCCTAGGCTTCCTCTGCCTTACGATTCATCATCAGTCTTCCTTTGGGAAGCAGAGTATTCCTTAAATGGGGGGCACTGCAATTTTCAATTCCCTGAAAAAAAGGGGGGACCCTTTTCAATGTGGTGTTTCTTTGTTCTTATTTAAATGTCTTTATTTTTGGTTGCCAAAATAAAAGACTCACAATGCTTTATTTTCATATCTTTCCTTTTCAGGTAAAACATCCCTTGCTCACCAGTTCATTGATGGGACATTTCTGGACTGTTATGACCCCACAGTGGAAAGCAGTAAGTCTTATGTCTAAGTTTTTACTGGGAATTATTTGGGCACTGGAAAAAATAATGTAAGAAGATGGTAACAATAATAACAAATCTTTATTTATATCCCGCTTTTCCCCCTCATGGGACCCAAAGCGGCTTACAACATATTAAAATCATGGAAGCAACAATCCAAATATATAGATAATAAGTATAAAATATCATAAAATAACAATTTTAAACAACAATAATGCACATTCATATTCTTGAGGCCTCATATCAGATCATATTTTGTAAAGTCTTGATAGTTGCCAGGGCTGGCTTCTTGGTATTTTTGGCCTGGCCCCTTGGCATGGTAAAGTAATCTCACATTCTGTGTTGAGAAAACTTGTGCTGACCCACGAAACCAGAAAGTATTTACTTGAGTCTAATGCACCATCAAATCTAATGTGCACCCCAGTTTTCAAAATCCTGAAACCCCAAAAAGTATTTACCATATTACGTGAATGTAATGCACATCCTACATTTGGGAAGATAATTTAGTCAAAAAAGGTGAGCATTAGACTTGAGTAAATACGGTATACATGTGGTTTCTTTGCAGGAAAACCTTACCATACCTCTACAATAGGGGATTTATCGTGATATTCCTACTCTGTATTGACTCACTCTTTATGTGTAGAGAGGATATAAAAACCTTTATGACAACTTCATATTTTCCATGTAATGCGTAGGCTATGTTTCTAAGACTCATGGGAGAATGCTGTCCTTTACTTACTGCATTTATGTGATCTTTCCCTTCCTATCCTGAAAAGTCCGAAATTGCTTCAGGTTATTATACCTGCAAGATCGCACTGTAGATATTTCCCCACAGTAGAGAACAGTTACTCATTCTTCCAGTGTGCATGCAATAGTTAGTGTTCTTAAATATGTTTATTGTAAATTTGTTTTTATAGGTGGTTTTACATATGCATTTTGTTTTGTATGGTCTTTTAAATAATGTTGTAAGTTGTTTTGGGTCCCATTTAGGGAGAAAAGCGGGATATAAATAAAGATTTATTATTATTTTATTATTATTCTTTAGCACTTCATAAGTGAGTGCATTGTAAAGGCATTGCTGTCTGGTCCACTGTCCATCTACTTGGAAGTAAGTCATGTTTATTTCACTGGCATTTACTGAGCAGTAAATAGGCATAGGATTACAGCCTTTTGTATGCTGAATAGTTGTCATGCATTGGCTACAGGGAGGGAGGGGTGGTGAGATGGAAAAATGTAGATTGCCATTTGCACAAGCACGAATAAAGATAGACCTTTAATATAGTTGGCAAGTAGACTGGCTAGGGTGGACATCCTAGCTCTGAATAGTGATGGAAGCATGATGAATCCTACCCTATTCTTTCTCACCTTTCTCCACCACTACCACCATCTCTCTCTATATATATATGAGAGAGAGAGAGAGAGAGAAAGAGAACTTCACTAATGCAGTCCTAACATCATAGAGATGTGATGTAGTAAATACCTTGTCTTGTGTTGGTACACTGTGGAGACAAGATGTTTGTAGATTCTCTCTTTTCTCTTCACCTCATCACTAAATGATGTAGTTACTAAGAAGTGAGAAAGCACACAACTGGATTATGTAGGCAGCAGTGGAAAAGTGGTGCGTCTGAGCATTTTCTGCCTCCTTGTTAAATGCGTGCATGGGCACTCCCATAACACTCAAAAATGGTGATGAACGCAAAGAAGAGAAACAGATGATTCCCATACAAAGTGTAGTTGGGTAGATAGGAGGGAAATTATTCTGAATTCTCCGTGGATGGGTTATTTTTTGCCTTTGGTCTTTCTTATGCTGACTCCTGAGTTAGACATGTGCTTTGGGCCCCATATTGAGAGAAAGATGGGATATAAATTAAATAAATACAAAAGTAAAAGATAAATAAATGCATCACATCAGTCTGTAATCTCAGTGCTTTGAGTAAATTTATATGCTGATTGACTTGTTGATGGTTGGGAAGTAAATTTGACTAAGACAGAGAACTGCTTGTTTGGATGAAGAAGCTGGGAGAGGGAGATGATGGCCCCAGTATTAATGTCAGTGCCTGAAGCCTCTCAATAAATGGGTTACAAGTTTTAGATGATGTGAATAATAGACACCTCTTGCAAATGTTTTGGGCAGCGGGGAACCTTTTCCGTTATCAGTGAGCCTGGGTGGTTTTTCGATGAAAGCAGATAGGTAGCACCCCTGTACTCATTTCCTGCCTCGCTCCAAGCCCAGCTCCATCACAACAATACCTTCCTGTTTTTGAAAGGGACTGCCCTTCACACCCGATCAGTATGCACACACAGATTTTAGGCTATTTGAAAATGGGTTTGCCTAGAAATTTGTCTTCGTTGCTGAAGGAGAATTTTTCAAGGCAAAAGCTCCAGAGACATAGAGTGTATTTTCAGTGCATTTTGATAGCTGCCATGCCTCCATCCTAATGGATCCTGGATTTTGTAGTTTGGTGAAGTACTAATCCCAAGCATGCTATCAAAATAGGGTGCAACCATAGCAGTTAAAGTGGGATAAAAGTGCTGTAGTAATCTAGTGTGGCTATACCCATAGTGTCTGGGATCAGAGAGCCATAGAATCATAGAGTTGGAAGAGACCTCTTGGGCCATCCAGTCCAACCTCCTGCCAAGAAGCAGGAAAATTGCATTCAAAGCATGTTTGCACCTCTTTTATTGTTTTTTGGTGCTAATTCAGCTATGCCTCCCTTCTTATTCTAATCATGTTTTTTCAATCACAGCACTTTGTTGCTCTTGACTTACCCTCATCACAGCTCAAATTAGTACACTATTCTATTCAGCCATCTTTTTATAATTGTATCCCTTGCAATTGGCCCAGCCCACTATGCTAATTTTTTGTCATTTTATTTTATACCTTGTGTTTATCTTGTTATATTTTGTTTTGTTTACATTTTATTTGATGTATTATTTGTTGTATGTACTCTTTTTGCTTTGCTGTAATTGTTGGGCTTGACCTCATGTTAGCCGCCCTGAGTCCCCTTGAGGAGATGGTGGCGGGGTATAAATAAAGTTTTACCTTATTATTATTACTTAATTGATTTGATAGCAATCCACAAACAATCCAGTGAGTCCTTGATTGTCCTATACATCCATATATCAGTCTTTTGAATCCCTTTGCTGGGTAAGAGTTTTTTTAACTGTTTATGGGGAGGAGATGCCATTGTCATAATCTCTATGCTATTGCTGGCCTGGTTTAATTGGGGAGCAGGACTCAGAACTGAGTGCAAACCAAAGTCGAAGGGATGGATCTTTGATCTAGTGCAGTGTTTCTCAAACTTTGCTCCTCTAGTGTTTTTGGCTTTAGCTCCTAGAAATCCCAGTCAGCTTACCAGCTGTTAGGAATTGTGGAAGCTGAAGTCCAAAACATCTGGAGGAGCTCAGTTTGAGAACCACTGTTCTAGTGGCAGGTCAAGGCCTGAATAGGAGGAAAGGGAACCAAGAGGAAATCAATAGGAGTTTAAGTGCAGATCTTTGTGGTAGACCTCAGGAGGTAGGTTAGGTATGGCAGGGGTCTCATTTTACAAACAGTTGTATATTGCCTTTCTTTTCTCTTTAGCTTACAACAAAATGTTGATGGTGGGGAAAGATGAATTTCACCTGCAGCTAGTAGACACAGCAGGACAGGTAAGATGAAGTGTCTTTGTTTCCTGCTTCTAGTGTCTTGACAGATGTCTCTGGCTTCTCTGTCAGAAAGATCTGACACTGTGGTGCCTCTTCCTTTCCCCCTGTGTTTGTCCAGGATGAATATACTATCTTGCCTCATTCGTTCACCATCGGCATCCATGGCTATGTGCTGGTGTATTCTGTCACATCCCTCAAGAGGTAGGTCAAGAGCAGTCTGAGATATGAATATACAGGGACAACCAGATTGTGGGGTATGGGAGGATAAAAGCAGTTATCTGAATATTTTGTGCTGTGCTGAGCCTCCAAATTGTTGTGCTTTCACAGTTGCACGTGTATTTATTTATTTATTTATTTATTGACTTCACTTGTATACCGCCATTCTCAGCCCTAAGGCGACTCATAGCGGTTTACAACAATCAAGCAAGAACAGAGCAACAGTCAAGGCAAGAATTCAATGCGACATCAACAGATACTTAAAAACAATTAGCACAGAAACAAATTAAACAATTTATCAGTAATAAACATTCAAGTGGCGTCTCATAACTAGAATCATGATCCAAACTTGTCAGTCGTAGTTCCATTCCTGAAGTCATTGCACTGCTTATTCAAACGCCTGTTCGAATAGCCATGTTTTCACCTTTCTCCGGAATACCAATAAGGAGGGAGCCAATCTGATGTCCGTGGGAAGGGCGTTCCACAGCCGGGGGGCCACCACCGAGAAGGCCCTGTCTCTCGTTTGAGGCCTGATTGGCCCCCACCCTGGCTGTTGTTTATGGGCCAAATGAAAACATAGCCACTTTCGGGGTCTAATTTCACTCAAACTCCTGCATGCGCATGGTTTTATTTTGTTTTAAAACTCTTTTCATTTTCTTGATCTGTCTTTTTAACTTTTAAAATTTTGTAATATATTTGTAACCTTTTAAGATCATTTGTAGCATTTATATTGTTTAAATTTAACAGAGTGGCTTTATTGTATCCCTTCAATGCAGAGTCACTAGGATTCAGGACTATGTGGCATAGACTTGTGTGTACTTGTATGCGTGTGTGAAAAGAAGCATCATTGTGTCATTCTTCCTCTTGTCTTTTGCAGTTTTCAGGTGGTGAAGTCTTTGCACAGCAAATTATATGAAAGCAGAGGGAAAACAAGGTAAATTTTATCAGACTAGGCTAGGGGCAGTAAAGAGCACTGTTCTAGAGGAAAATTAAAAAAACGCAAGCAGGAAGAAAAGCACTTGTCAGGGGGAAAAGAGATGAATTGTGGGTGGAGTACTAGAAGAAATCTGTCTGAAAATCTGTGTTAGCTTTTAATTATCAACCTGTTCCAGGAATGGATTTCAGAATAGATATAATTGCTGGTAATCATGTCAACTGGCAATTAATTCAGCTAATGATCCCCCTGCCAACCTGTTTGAGCACTTAGCTTTGCTTAGTATATCTTCAACTCATCCCTGGATTAATCATAGAATCACAGAGTTGGAAGAGACGACACGGACCATCAAGTCCAACTTCCCTGTTAAAGTCACCAGGAAGACCTTAGTAGCTTGACGTTTAAAGCAACTGATGTAGATTGCTAATATATGTACAATACTATTACACCAACTATAGCTGTAAATTGACGAGTACTGTTTTGATCAGCAAAGATTATGATTGTACTTACTTTGGTGTATTTTTGTACCTGAGTCTCCAGTTGCAAGGTTCGAATCTGAAGTGAGATCTGTAGCGCTTTCTGCTGTGCTTACGTCAGGAAAGGTGCTTTTTGGCTTTTTCCTGACCTGGATGTAAACTGAGAATGACTTTAGAGCAGGCATGGGCAAACTGGCCCTCCAGGTGTTTTGGACTTCAACGCTCACAATTCTTAACAGCCAGTAATTTCTAGGATTTCTGGGAGCTGACGTCCAAAACACCCATGCCTGCTTTGGAGTCACAGGACTTGGAGGCGTTTTGTAGGTAGGCTGTACTTCTACAAGGCTATTATAACAGAAGTTACATTGTTGCAGAATGTATGTGGAGTTTGTTTCCAAAAGGTACCAAATCTAAAAGAAGAAGAAAAATAAGAGAAAAAGAATACCGACTTATAGGTGGTTGCACATTGTTAGCAAGGAGTAAAATGCTATGTACAGATCAAAACAATAAAAATTAGTCAAACCACTTCAGCGCAAGGCCTGGAAAATTGCACAAATTAATTCATATCCTCAGCACTTTTTTTTTCGATTCCAGTAAAATTTGTTCAGATATATTCAGTACTTTCTGGAAGCAAACTCCAGATTAGCAGGATGGGCTTCTACTAAGGATATGCAGAGTACATTTTCTTACCTGGCAAATAATCCTAATGTCATCACATCTGGATGGTAATATTTGTCAGGCCATTCTTTGAGTCCCAGGCAGGCCTGAAATGTGGCAGGAGAGTAGGGAAGTTATGTGTGTTTAATTGCCCAGTGCTTGAGAGCTTAGATTTGACTGTGATAGGTTACAAAATGTCTCAAGTCACTGGGGCCAAATACAGGTTCTTCTAACCCAGTGGTTCTCAACCTGTGGGTCCCCAGATGTTTTGGCCTTCAACTCCCAGAAATCTTAACAGCTGGTAAACTGCCTGGGATTTCTGGGAGTTGTAGGCCAAAACACCTGGGGAACCACACGTTGAGAACCACTGTTCTAACCAAAGTGCCAGAGACATTCACTTGCCAGCTCTTATTAGGGAATTAGCTCTGGGTCGGGAAGATTTTGCCTGTGTTGGCTAGGAGATTCTGGAAGCTGGGGTACAAAAAGTAACTTTTCCATGCTTTGATTTCAAGATGGGTGGTTACTGGAAATAGTTGTTGAAGTTTAGGATACATGGAATGAAACCTCCGCTTACCATTCAGGAAGCCATCTTTAGAAATGTCTTTCTTTTTTCTTGGCAGGATGCCTGTAGTGCTCGTTGGCAATAAAGCTGATTTATCTCTAGAAAGGTAAGGATTTATTTGTTGATCGAGAAATTATGGCCCAAGATTGGGTTGCTTCTATTTTTTTGTAAATTACTGCCTATAGTTTAAGCCAGGCATCTTCAAACTGCAGCCCTCCAGCTGTTTGGGCCTTCAACTCTCAGAATTCCTGAACAAGCTCGTTGGGGCTTCTGGGAGTTGGAGGCCCAAACAGCTGGAGGGCCAAAGTTTGAGGCTGCCTGGTCTAAGCTTTATGAGCTGCTGAAGTTAGTGCTTAAAATTTAGAGTTGTGTTTTACTGATACTCTCTTAATTAGAAGATCTGTATTGTGAATAATGAAATGAGTGAAGACAGCTGTGGTGTATTTTCCTGCATTTGGTACATTTGTGTTTACGCTGCAGTGCCAGTTCCTAACCTTTACTTTGGTTTTGATTTGTCTACATCGCAGAGTAGGATTCTATCTTGAATAGACAGCTGCTAAGTGCTAATGAATACTGTTACTGAGGTCAGAGTTATGTGCTTTGGAAATACACAACATGTACCAAGTCTGCACTCCTGAGCCTGGCTTCTTGAAACAGTATTTTGTTAAAGGGTTGTTAAACTTTTAATCATGCTCATGGCAGGTTTTTTTAAAAAACAACCCCCCTGTGTTTAGAGGACATAAAAGGCATATATTTCAGAGAATACTATTATACATTTGGTGCATTCCTCTTCTCAACCTCTCTTTTAAAAATACTGTATCACAAACAATAGTGTTCATATGTGAAATTGTGCTTACCCAAATGCTACCCATTATACACATAAGTATTTTATTTATTTCGTACATTTGTACCCCGTCTTTTTCACCCTCGGGAGGGACATGGACTCAGGGCACATCTTTAGTGCTTGCAATACACACCAACTGTTGCCTGTTGTTCAGCCAGTATCAGATTACGGAAGTGGTTTAAATTATAATAAGGATGGTATCATTTTGGATTGTTATGATCCTTGTTACCCTTTTCACACCCTCCTCTGTGTGTAGCCGGCAGGTGAAGACCGATGAAGGAAGGAAACTTGCCGATTCCTGGGGTGCTGTTTTTTTGGAATCTTCTGCAAAAGAAAAGCAGGTCTGATGTCTATTTCTTCTCCTTAACATTTTTTGTAATACCTATGATCTAATTTAAGGCATCTGAGAATGAGCAGGGAATTCTTAAAAGGGATTTATTTTAAATTGTTTTAATACTGTGGGTAATTTAATTGCATTTTAACAATACCTTTTGCGTTCTTTTGTTAACATCTTGCTGTTCTAATTTTGTATGCTGCCTTGAGTCTCTTCAGGATTAAAGAGGGCTTCCTTTTTTGCCAGGAAGTCCTTAAAAATTGAGGGAAGGGGTGAAATCTGTGTTGCTCAATATGTTGTTGCTCTCAGTGTGACCAATGGTCAAGGATGATGGAATTGATTGTCCAGTAATATCTGGCAGTCTCAAAGTCAGCAGTGCGTGCTCCTGCTTGTGTGATGTTGACTTGTCTCCCATTTTCTGTTTTGCAGATGACTCAAGGTATTTTCACAAAGGTTATTGAGGAGATTGATCGTGTGGACAACTCATGTGGCGAGCATCGTAGTTGTATTCTCATGTGATGTCTCCTTTCCCCATCTGAAGCCACTCTGCAGGTGCGAGGAGTCTGTCGGGAGACTCGGGCCAACTCAGGAGAGGCATTAGAGCTACCTGGAGCCCCAAACAATGGGTCTGAAGTAGCGTACGGGTAATCCACACAGAAACAAATATATACCTCATTGATCACCCCCTCGAGCAGGGGGCGGCCATGTTTTGCACATTAGTTTGCTAGATGCAATCTCTGTGTGTGTATACACACATATATATGTCTTGCCAAATGTTTACAGAACTAGGAGGTCAGGAGCACAATAAGTTGTATTTATGTCTTTTTTTATGAAGGGACTCTTCTGTATATTTGTAACAAAGTATAATCCATACACATGCAACTTTACACACATATTTGTTTACGTCTTTGGTGTACCTGAGAAGCAGCCAAGTGTAACTTTTTCCTGCTGTGGAATCCACTGAGGGCTAGATCTTTGAATTGTACTCCTTTTTTAGCAGCAACTTGCAATGCAGTCCCAAATAGGCAGTTATTTTTTTTTCAGTTGTGCTTTTGACAACCTGCTTTCTTTTCTTTTCTTTTTGGCAAAGTATGGTCTTGATCCAAAATTTGACACCCCCCCCACCTTTTTGTTTTCATAAGGTTTGAAATGGCTGATGGGTCAGCAAAACCTGATATTTTTTTTCTTTGATTATGCAAGTAAAAGCAACTTTCTTCAGGAGGCATATGGAGAAAAAAACTTTTACCTGGTAACTCTTGGTGTGCTGATGACTTTCCAGATTGTGTATCAACTTGTTGTAGTAAAAAGAAATGTCTAGCTTGGGTATAATAGCAGAATGAAGAAAGCAATAGGTAGAGCTGAGGTAAGCTCATATGAGGTTCAGCATCTTATTTTTAATCATCTCTTCTGGATGGTTCTTTAAGAAGTAGGAATTACATTTTGGGGGTGAAAATTTGTGTTAGTAGAGACACACAGTGGTGTCAGAATACAATGTTTGTGCTGGAACCTATTTCTTGACAGTTATATTTTGAAGGGGTGATGCAGGATGAGCTAAACTTGGATGGAAAGAGGGTTACTGGATGCCTTGGATGACGTCTGATTACATCTTATGCAACTTTATAATTATCCTACATGGAAAATAAAAAAGAGCAAGATGGTTCAATTGCAAGCTCTGCTGTGCTACAGCTCAAAATGCAGCCATTACCTTTGAATGGAGGTGAATAAGAGGTAGCTGGTTACTTTTTGTGTGTGTTCAAAATTGTCTGTCTATGGCAGTGACTGGGGTCCCCAGATGTTTTTGGCCCACAACTCCCAGAAATCCCGGCCAGTTTACCAGCTGTTAGGATTTTTGGGATTTGAAGGCCAAAAACATCTGGGGATCTACAGGTTGAGAACCACTGGTCTATGGCTTTCTTGGTAACACCAGGTTGCCTTTTGCCTAAATTAAGTGTGGGCAAAGTGTCTTCCTGATATTGAACTGTAATTGCTGCCATCCTTGTGTCACCTCAGACCAACAAGAAGTATAGTCCAGCAGTATCAGCAGGGCCATAAAATGCCACTCCTGGTCCAAAGCCCAGTGTATCAGGGGTCTCTGAATGTTTTCAGATGTTCATCTTTCTTTTGTTGAGGAGGCTTTGGAATAGATTACATGGTTTCTGAAAAAAAGGCAGATCCTCCCACCTGACAACTTTTTTTGTTTGAATACAAGCAGCATAGCTATGCGTGTGCTTCCTCTGTTTCCATGTTTGACAGTATAAAGTAGGAAAAACTGGGTATCTTACTTCATGGCAGCTGGGAATCCAAAGGGCTACTGGGGGCAGAAGTTGAACATTTGGCCCTTGAAGAAAACAAACATGTACACATACACAGATAGACACCTTGAAATTAAACAGAGGGCTGGGCAGCACAAATTTTGTGACTGATCCCTACTGAAACATAATCTGTTGTGCTTTGGAAAAGCTTGTATGAATCTAAAACTAGTGTAATTCCAGCCATAATGATTGGTGCCCATTCTTCAGTTACCACAGTGTCTATGGCAGAGAAGCCCAAATTCAGAGTCTGGCAGTGTTGAGTTAAATGTAACAATACAATAAATTGATAATTTATTGTTGAAGGCTTTCATGGCCGGAATCACTGGGTTGTTGTAGGTTTTTCAGGCTGTATGTCCTTGTTCTAGAAACATTCTCTCCTAACGTTTCGCCTGTACCTGTGGCAGGCATTTTCAGAGGTTGTGAGGTCTTACAGCCTCTGAGGATGCTTGCCACAGATGCAGGTGAAACGTCAGGAGAGAATGCTTCTAGAACATACAGTCCGAAAAACCTATAACAACCCACTAATTGATAATTGGTTCTTTCCCTTTTTTGTAGTATAATAAGTAATGTTTTCTAGTTACTAAATTGTTACTGCTAAAAGTGCCCTTTAAAAGTATGTTTTCCTCCAGACATTTGTGCTGTCCTTATCCCAAGATGTTCCAAGTAACAAGCAACATAAGGATTAATGGTAATGAATTACATTTTAAACACTGCAACAAGTAATGACAATGTTTTTCCATTTAAAAACAACGCTGCAACCAATAATGAAATCCACTTCTTCGCTGAAAATTTCTTCCTGAGTTTGTGCTGACTTGATTTCAACCCAAAGGCCATCCATCCTCCTAAGCCCAACAACATCTCTGCACTGATTTCTTCTACATTTTAAAGTTTGCATAGGTTCTGTGCTGTGGTGGTCTTCCTTTTGTAAAACTTTTTTTTCAGAAAAAAAAATCTGATCTGATGACTTTCTTTCCTGGGGCCTAAAGTGCCTATAAAATGTAGATTTGCCTCCAGTAGTTACAAAGTGGCTAAAATATTTTATGCTGCTTCTAGTGTAGGTCTAAGCAGATGTTGAGTTCACTGAAAGGGGGAGAAAATGCTTATAAAGTGTTCAGTACCCCTTCTCTAAAACAATATCAAATAATCAGGCTAGTGAAAGTATCTGTTTTGAGCACAACTACTAGGTTTTGTATACCACGTAGTTAATGAATTGTCATTGCTACCTATTGCTCCAACAGTATTCCCCAAACGTTGGTCTTCCAGATGTTTTGGACTTTAGCTCCCAGAATTTCTGACTGCTGGCCAATTTGGCTGTACTCCTGAGAGTTCAAGTCCAAAACAGCTGAAAGACCCAAATTTGGGAATCACTGGAATTGGGTCGCCAGAGGTTGCTCTTCCCTTTTTCAGACTGTGGCTCTGTTGTTTGTTGCTGATCCTTCCTATTTAGCTATCCTAGATTGACTCATTTCAAGTATGTTACAACACTTGCTTGCTCCCATTTTCCCTTGGCAGGATCAAGACTGCCTGTTAGTTTTGAATAGGGGATGCATGTAAAGTTGCCAACACCACCTCTGCCTTGTCTTTTTCTGAGGGTCACAGACAGACATCTGTTGCATCTTCATTGAAAGAGATGCCTAACTTTTCTTAAATGTGTCCTGCTGCACGGGAGGGGTGAAAACTAGAGGAGGAACTGGCATCTCTGCTTATAGTTTGGGAGGGCAGAGAACATTCTTGATTTCTTAGCTGCAGTTGCTGATATCTTGGTGTGAAAAATTATGAAAACAGACCGACACATTTTCTTCATAGGTTGGAGGATGATGACGGGTTAGCTTGCAGCATGCATTATTTCTCTTCAGTGCAGGAAGAAAGTGGGAGAACACAGATTGATTTTGATTTGTGTTGTGTTTCGGGATAAACCCTGGACCAAATGGGACATGTGACAGGAAGGAGAGGGATTGGAAAAATGGAACTGAGAGAGAAAGAATGACCAGGATAAATAAGAGTGAAGGGCTAGTTAACTCAGCAGCTGATACCAGTCCCAGAGATGCTGGTGGCTCTTCTCTGTTGTTCATTTTATAAACAGATTACTTATAAAAGGTTTTCCCCAGTCAAAGCCACCTTTCCTTTGGATGTTTCCATCATACAACTACTTCTGGGTGGATAAACCATGTGGAAGGCCTTGATGATGGATACTACTCAAGGATGGATCCTATTCAATTCCTTCATGATGGAGGCTTGTGGTTGTGGTTGAGTAACTCTCTCACATGATTTTGGAGCTGCTCACTCTCTCTCCTCCATTATAAAATGGCTGTTGTTAATGACAGGCAGGATTTGGTGGTGGCAGGGTCGTGATTTTTCCATATATTTTTAAAAAATAAAATAAAAATCAGGCTACTGCTGTATACGTAGATATTTACCAGCCACAAAACTGGCTGCTCTCCTCTGGAACACATATATATTTTATGTGCCCCTTTCTCATTATCTCTGTCACCTTTTCTTTCATCTCTCTCTCTCTGTATGTATATGTATATATGTGTATATATGTATATAATTACAATAAATCATGTGTATAGGCCAGTTCCCAATATTATTTTGCACAGTCTTAATTATACTATACTATAATGATATAAGAAAACATAAAAAGTGATGTTAATTGAGAATCACTGTCCCTTGAACAAAATCTTACCACCAGCTACATTTTTGGAAGCCATGAAAGTTATAGCCTTACTCCCCTTGCCTGGCTGCCATTCCACCAACTAGTATTTAATTGGACACATAGAATCATGTTACATTCTGAATGTAGCAGTTTTATTTATCATATATTTATGTATAACTTTCTAGCTACTTGAGAACCCTGGGAGGCAGGGTTGTCCTGCACCCCACCATGTGCCTCAATGACCTATTGTTACAATGATATAATGAGCAGGAAGTGGTCAGCCTGCCCTGTTGGCCATCCATGCCTTGCTGTCCCATCAGCAGGGCTGTTTCACCCATGCAGCTGCCTTTTACCATTGCCACTTGCCACAAAACTGTGACAGTGGAGAATGAGGGATAGGAAAAAAGGAGCTAGTTATATGTTTTGCACCCACTGAGCTTTTCCCCAAGGGGCCCTTGTTCCACCACTGTCAGACATTTGACGTGGGAAAGAGAATGGGACGAGAACTCAGATTTCCCAGGCACTTTCCCCGCTGTCAACACATTGCCTGTCCCTTTTGCAAAGTAGCCCTTATAGCTGGGAAGGGAGGAAACAGTTGTGCCAATTGGTGCTTCACTTGGCCGCCTTTAGGCTATTTAGGCCTCTACTCACCATTAGCTTTGGTTAATGTGTGAACATGTCAAATGAGGGCGCTCCTGGGTGGGGGAGATATGGAGCTGCCTTGTTTAGTTAAACCATGAATCCATCTAATTCTGTACTATTTGTTAGCCATTTCCAGCTTGCTGCCCTCTTGTATTGGATTTCAACTTCTATCAGTCCCACACACCCCATGATGATCATTTATTTCCAAGGGAAAACATAAAAGCACTGTGCTTGATGACAGAGCTATTGTTGAAGGCAAGGCTGGACTTACATTAAAGGTTTCAGTCTTTGCTGTCAGTAGAAGTCTTCCTTTTGTATTAATATTGTTCATTGTAATGATATGCATTTTAAATGGGGAAAAGTTAGCTGGAGACAGGAATTAAAAGCTAGTTGTAGACTCAGAGATAGGCCTTTCCTTTGGTCTGCCTTTCTGTGCAATTATTCCATTCAGGGGAATCCATATTGATCCGAACATGCTTGATCTCATCGTTTCAGAAGTAAAACAAGGTTAGCCCTGGTTATCACTTGGAGAGAGGAGGAGGTAGGATAGGAAACAATCCTGCCTGAAACCTTTGAGAGTCTCTGCTGCCAACTAAGAGTTGGCAGTACTGAACC